CCCTCCCTTCTTTCCTTCCTTCCTTCCCCTCCCCTTCCCCTCCAATTCTCCTTCCTCCCTTCCTTCCCTCCTTCCCTCCCTTTCTCTCTTTCTCGCTGGCCCCTGCATGAAAGCCGACCCAGCCGAGCCGGTCGATGCAGCGGGGAAGCCAGCCTGGGCCGGTCCTCCCTCCGACTCCTCCAGCGCCGCGCAGGGCTCCCAGGGGAGCTGACGCTGCGTTCCTGGCAACATCTTCTGTCCTCGCCAAGCCAGCCGGCAGCTGCCAGGCCCGCCTCGGCTCCCCTCCTGAAACCAGCCAAGCTTTGCAGGGCCTCTCCAACCATCTCCCCCTTGATGCAGAGCACTGGCAGGGTGGGCAAAGGAGGTCACCCTGCTGCGAGGTCCTCTTACAGCTGCAACTCCTTGGGAGGCAGAAAAAAGCCATTTATTCGTTCTGCCTTTTCTCTTAAGAGTGAACTCTTGCTGATTTCATGCTCACGACCATCTGGCGAGGAAGGCTCGGCAAAGCTGTCCTGGCAGACCAACAGCCGGCAGTGCATTTCGGGGCTGAGCCGGGGCCCGACTCCAATTCCAATCATCCACTCTGAGACGATGGAAGCTGGCTGAGGAAGCCCACCCCCCCAATCCATAACCCTGGTTCCTATGTGCCATAACCCATGGCTCAGCCTGACATTTCTATCATCCATAATGAGCCGGGTTCACCCGTTGCACTCAGCTCTCTTTGGCTAACCACGGTTTACTGACCAGGCCAGTAGGCGTGAACCCCCTTCACCGTGGTTTGCCAGCCCCAATATCTGCATGTGCAAAACCCCCGAAGTCAAAACCGAATCATGTTTGGTGTGAAGCGGGCTAGAGAGCTGCTGAACTTTGGCCAGGCTGTGGTGCCAGGGTCTGAGGGTCCTGCCCGATCACTTACTGTCCTTCCTCATGCCCACCGAGAGGCATTTCTGGTAACGACAGGCCTGGCATTGCCGGCGCTTGGCTTTCGTGATGGGGCAACTCCGAGTGAAGGGGCAAGTAAACTGGATGCCCTTGAGCACGGTCCTCCTGCAAGGCAAGGGGAGGAAACTTGAAGAGGAGACCTGAGGACTAGAAACTCGCAAGCGCCTGCATCTTCCTGAATCATGAGGACTAGCACCCGACCTTGCTTTCGGATGCCAAAGCTCAACCTGTGGTAGAAGACGGGATAATAAAATTGACGGAGCTTGTGGGAATGGCAAACTGGCGAGTTGGGTCAGGGAAAAATGTTTTTTTAAAAGACTGGAAGCCTTCTGTGGGCTTTTGGTTGAAAGAAGAAAAGACTGAATGGACGATTTATGGATTTTGGGATTAAAAAGGGTCAAAGGGGAAGGGGAAAGAATAAGATGGTAATTACTGTACTCTTGGACAGGAGGAAGGGCAGAAGTCATAATTCTCTTCCTTCCTTCCTTCCTTCCTTCCTTCCTTCCTTCCTTCCTTCCTTCCTTCCTT